ACGCAAAATATTTGCATAACTTTCCGACAATTCGGAACAATTTAAACTATTAATATTTTGGTTTCCAGCACAACTTAATGTTCAATGACGAAGTAAATTTGTTTGTTTTGTTCAAAGCAAAATAACTTGAAGAGATAATCGAATGTTGAATAAAGTTTGAAAAATTTATACGAATCAAAGCTTTCAGCATTCATTAATTATTTCAAAACAAGACTTGATTAAATGCATGTGAATGGCATGAGAAACAAGATAATTTTATTTCATACACAATGCAATGAATCAAACAGAAGACGAAACATTTTCTGTTGAAAGATAATCAAATAATGAGTCTGAAATTCTGCTAAGCTGATGAAAAATAAACTTATTTTCGTTGAGATTTAATTAAATGCTTTGTAACTAAATATCAATGTAAATAAGCTTAATCATAATTTATCGTTAAAGCAATTAAATCAATCTTGAGAGTGATTAGCAAATGCTCAATGAATTAAATGTAACATTATTTCCACTCTTTTTCTGGATAAACTTTTCTTTTATGACATTTTTCTTGTTCTTTCAATTTCATTCAATTCTGTAATTGACAATCAACTTGGGTCAATATCATTTTAAGTAAGCGCCAAGATTCAGTTGAATATTCAAGGCTAGTTCAGGTTCACTTTGCTTTCCCTGCGATTATTGCGTGATTAACTTTTATCCGATAATTTGTCCTTCTTATTAATATTTTTTATTATAATTATCATTTTTGTTTCATCGCCATGAAAAAAGGATGAGCAAGCAAAGTCAAAAAAACGTGAAAATGTTTAAACCAAATGTAAATCAAATTTAACTGAAAGGCAATAAAGGCAACGATTGAAGAATCAACAAGATGATTAACAACAAGAAAACAAGATTGAAATAAATTTAATTCCCTCATAGATTATCGTATTTCTGTACAAAAATTTGTTACCTTGATTCTCATAAACATAATAAAGTGATATTTTTGATGAATAACCTGTAATACAATCCAAGAATCCAATTCTTCCGAGAAAATGAATTCAATGTAACAAAAAAAGTAAACATTAAAGTGTGATTTGTGAGTCAAGTTGAAGCATTGGATCGACATTCACATAAATTGATCAAAACTATAAAAAATACAATTCGATCTCATAAAGGTTTAGATGAAATAATTTCATTATTTTGAGCAAATGATTTTCTTCATTGTTTTAATCGAAAAAAGTTTTAGAAAAACTTGTTGATCAGAATTTTAGGTTTCAATGCAACTCAATGAGACGACAGTTTCAGTTGATGTACCAATGTGAATGGACAAAAGCATGAAATGCAAATGGACCAACAAATCAGTCTGAAAAACTCGTAAAGACTTCACCTTTTCTAATTATAATACATTGAATCACAGTTAATCCATGAAGAAATGAATTTCACTTTGATCATAAAACACATCAACTGTTATCCCTTAATGACTTAATCTAAATTGGCTCTCATGCTAATCGGGATAATGAAAGGTAAAGAGAAGTTCATCTTTTCGTTTCTATTAACCTCAAATGAGAAGATGAAACATTAAGACTGTTCACATAATTTACCGATTGACTAACAATTGTTGAATATTAAGCCTGACAAATGATCGGGTTTATTGGTGAGGCCAAAAGAAGAGGTCAGAAAATTAATTTGCAAGTTGAGGAACCACAAAAGGGCCGAGTCTTGTTCATAGAGAAGAGCAGAGGTTAAAGCCTTTAAACTGTGAACCAAGTAAAATTTATTGGTCAATAGAAAGTTAATCGTTAACAGTTGGATTAGCATTTTGAAAAGGAACTGAATTACACATGAAAAGTAACTCAAGATGTTTGAATTGTGATAATCAATCAGCGTCATCGGATGAAATCGGGAAACACAAGCAAACGATGTAAAACTGATTGAAGTGCACACCTAATAATGATTATGAATCAGCTTCTATTAATGGAATTGGAAAAAGTGTTTCTCAACCAATTTAGATGAATTTAAGTTAATCAACTTGAACAACTGATTAACTGGCTAAATTGTTGAATGTTTAGGTTAGGCTAATTGAAGTGACCCAAACTATTATAATAAACTTTTAATAACTTGAAATGGAATAAAGTTTGACTTGTTTTCAGCTTGCAATCGATTCATTAGTCAATTTGCACTTTAAAACCAATCAATTATTCAATCATTATTCAATCAACATTTTTCTTAATTAAGGTAGATCACTGATTGATTTTGCACAGTTGCTTTCAATTTATCATGTTTATTAAACGCTCATTTCTGTTGCAACTCAATATTTCAACTTTGATTACTATTCAATCAACAATTTTCAAACATGAATCTGATTGATTATCAATGAACTGATTCACTTTGTGTCAACAGAAATTTCAATTCAACCTTTCATCGATCCGGTTCAAGTTTGGTTAACTTTTGATCAGTCCATTTGATTGTCTAAACAAGGTGAAAGCAAAAGGTAATTAAATTGGTTGAGTGTTTGGACCAAGGTGTACTTGAAGAGGTTTAACCATTAACAATGTTTTAGGCGCCATTAACTTGATTATTAAACTTTCGCTTCGTTATCAGTTCTCATCAATTTGTGTGTGTTTCTGTTCCTCCCAATTTTGCACCAAAAACTTGACTGGGCTCAATTAATTTGAATAAACTGACCCATGTCCGTATCTAGTTGCTTTTTTAATAATAATAATGAGATTGAACCAGATTGGTAAGAATAAGTTGCAACAGAAACTAGCCTCAGGCTGGTTTAACCTTAGGCAACCTCAAGATATTAGATGATATATTTACATTGTTACTGTTGTTAGTTGCTTGCCTGTTCGGCCCATTAATAACAAGACAGTTTCCTTTGATTATAGCACAGAAAAGAAACAAAAATGTGTTCAAAACCAATTAATAACTCAATCTAATGACTCTTTACAGGGCAGTTCAAGTTCGATGTTCAACTTGACTAGCGATAAAAAGCAAAATTGAGTTTTAGCTTAGAATTCAATTTTATACAAAATTTTGGCTAAATTGCGATTCCATTCAAATCTTTCAATTTTCATATTTTGTTTTCATAACAACTTCTCGATTGAGAACGATTGTTTTTAATCTATCTTCAATGAACTTTAATCGAAATTATGATTGCGATTAAGAGAATAATTCATGAATTTGAAGCTTAATATGACTGAACCATAATCGTTTTAAGAAGACTCAAAACTTGAGATTGCGTTGATAAGTTAGCTAAATCTCTGGAATCTTCAAGATCAAAATAAGTCTTTTATTTGAACAAAATTTATTGGTCTTGTCGACATTCGAGCTCGAAATCCTCCTCAAATAAACTCCTTTGTGTAATAATGATATGCGTATATTGGAATAAGGATTTCAAATCTTATTCTTTCACATTTCTTAATATTAGAATATTTTGAGATTAAATTCGTTGGTTATTGAAAGCTTAGTGTAATCTAATGAGGATACTAATTTTAAGTTTTAAGTCATGAAAAAGAACTGAATTTAGAATAAATTTGCAAAATTTATCCGTGAAATGTCAAAGTGAACTTGATCAACTAATAAACATATTTTGAATGGAAACGCACTTAATTTGACTGCAAAGCCGTGGCTAAAATATCCTACTAATGTAAAGGGAAAAAGGTTGAGGTTGAAGAAGAGTATTTCAGTTAAGATCAAATTAATGAAAGGTCAACAAAGCGATTTTTTCAGGCAAATTAAATGGGTTAAACTGCATTCATCAACTGTAAATAGCTCTAGACTTGAAAAAAATAAAAGTTTTCGTTTGAATTGTTTTTAACATTTGCAGTCAATCGACAGTCTTTCACTAAAAAGATGTCGGCAAATTGATAACAAATTTCATGATGAGCTGAGCTATAATTGTTTATTTGCATTAGTCTTCAGTTTCACAATTGTGCTCATCATTAGGAAGCTGTTCTCAAGATGTGATCAAAGACTGATCAATAAGAATATTATACAAACACTTTTCTAATTGAAGGCCCTAAAACTTGCAATAAATTGACCAGAAATGAAACAATTCAGATTGAGATTCCACATCTTGCGCATCTTAAAGTGGTTTAAGTTTCAAATTAATTGATTATGTTAATCAATCCTATAGTTTTGCACATATTTCAAGAAGAAAATTCGTTAACTTAAAGACTCGATCAGGATTAATCTGGTTAATTTCATAGCTTTTAAATTTGCTTCTCATGTTTAAACTTAATATTGTAATTTCAACTCTTTACTTGACTCAAGTTTTTCTGGTTCATTTTAGTATGAATTTGAATGCTTGCAATGACAATTTACTTTATAAGTCACAGCTTTTGAAAAAAAGCGATTTTGTTGTTCGATTAAATTAGTTCATCTGATTAACCCAATTAGTGATGAAAGAATAATTGAATAGTGAAACCAATCAGAGCATCAATTTCATCACCAGTTTAATCAGCAATTAGCATTTTTTGCTTCCATTTACTAGGCTTTGATTCGCCTTTGTGCATCGAGTTTCCATTTAATCGTCGCTTTTTTCTTCTCTTATTCAATTTCGTCCATTTCACAATTTGATTGGTTTCATCAAATGTGTGAGCTTGGTGTGTTTTGAAGCGAAAAATTAACAACGAAGTGAGAAGGAAGAGAAAAAGAAAAACGAGCAAAATTGAAACAATTTGGTGAAACAATGAACAAGAATTGGATTGAGACTGAGAAGTAAAAAAAAGATGAGAACAAATTATCTCCTATTTTGACCAACTTTACACTGAATTTACCAGACTAATTCAAATTAAGTGATTAAGAATAGAAGGAAGAAAAACCATTCAACCTTAATATCGACTATTGCAATCTAATTTGTCTCAATTTGTTCAACTTTTCCGAACGATAATCATCTCATGTAAACATTGCAAAGTAAATTTCCATTCAATCATTTCCAATGATTAATCTGACAAAGAGGATGAAATAATCAAATGGGAAAATCAAAGTTTCACGAATGAAAAGAAAAAGAAGTTTCATTTTGAGTTATTTTTTATTAACTTATATTATAAATATGAGTATGACGAGTAAATTTAAACTGGACAATATTGTCTACTGGACACCCTTGAAACGGTCAAGTATAATGCCGATCAACTTTAATACAGAATTTGTTTTCTTTTCCATTTATTCATTTTTCGCCTTTCAAAGTGTTTCTATCTTCATTAAGGTAGCAATAAGTGTTGATACAAATTGGTTAAGCTTACAGTTGATGAATTAACTCCAAGTACAGAAACATGAAAAGATGAGTTTCCATGAAAGAAAAGAAACGAAAGATGAAAATGAATTGGAATGATGATAAGTGTTGGTCACTTTAAGTGTATCATGTTTTGTTTTACAAATGAATTGATTGTTATTCGCATTGGAACACTTGTGTCATTTATCTTCGTCTTCTTCTTCATCTTCTTCTTTGACATCAGTTTCTCTTCTTAAAGTTATCTCATGTTCACGAGCTTTTGCTCTTAACACCGCTATACTCGATGAGCGAAATGTTTCATTTGAACTTTTCTCGTGAAACTTTTTCTCACCAAACTCTTTAGTTACAAGGCACAAAGGTGTTCCGTTGGTTGACTGGTTAGGCTCTTTGTTGTTGCTGTGGGTTGATTCATTGCTGTTCCCATTGGTACTTGCACTATTCACTGGTGGCGATGAGGACTTTCTCGGTGGTGGTGATGGCGCTTTGTCCGGTGAATCGTCAGTAACTGAGATGGTTGGTGATGGAGGTAGATTGGGATGAGAGTGTGAAGATGATGATGAGGTTGATGATGAACAGGATGAGGCTTGTTGAGGTTGAGGCTGTTGAGATGGTTGGTGAGGGTGAGGATGGTGTTGAAGATGAGATGAAGGTAAATGTGATGAGGGATAAGAATGAAGATTTGGATGATTGGTTCCATAGATGGATGATAATGTGGCTAGTAAGTTTTGGAATGAGGCTGGATTATTGGCTCCTGTAAGGTGAGAATTGGCTAGTAAAGTGTTGAAACTGGAAGCTGCGAGGCGACTGTTGAACAATGACTGATAAGTTCCAGCGGCTGCTGCGGCCGCAGCAGCTGAAGGGAAACCAGCAAATCCAGGCAGTCCGTTGGGTGAACTGGCCAGGGTTAAGGGTATTGATGGATAAGGTGAGGAACCTTTGGTTTCAGGATGAAGATGATTAAAGAAGTTGGTCAAGAAGGGATTATTCAGTGTATCACCAGCACTTAAACCTGGTAAACTATTTAAACCCACTGAACCTGTTGGATTGGGTTGACCTGAAAGTCCATTGGGTAATGGTGAGATTCCGTTTTGAGCAGAAGGTCCAGTGCCCATGTTAACTCGACTCGGTAATAGGGTTGGTGGATGGTTATTGGGTGAACCATGGTAAAGTCCAATGTTGTTGTAAACTGGACCTGGATTAGGGTCAAGTCCAGGTCCATTTGGAGATTTATCTTGTTTCCTGTGTTTTGCTCGACGATTTTGAAACCAAACCTGATAATGGAATCGAGAAAAGGTCGCATTAATTGGGTTCAAAAGATTAACTTGACCGAATCCTAACTAATCTAGAAAAGCCAAAAAGCTCAAAATCAAGTGTTGATATGTTAATCCTATTCAGCTCATGTACAAATAGTCAAAAATGGATTTAATTTGTTAATCCTGTAATCCATTGTCAACTTTTCAAAGTTTAAACGCTTAAAGCAATGTTTATTACAACGTTTATTCCCGTGTTTATAGATCAACAAAAGATTAACATTATTGGTAAATCCTTGAAAAGTGTCAACACAACTAAAGCAAAGTGAATTAAGTGACTTTACCAATCGCAATTAAGCAAATTATTTGTAGCAACAATTGAAACAAATTGCAAGTGTTCAACAAAAGCGAGTTAAACTAATTATCGAAAGTGATTTGCATTTTCAAATTGACTGTAAATCCAAGGTAACCAACAATAAGTTATTTCAAGTCTATAAACATTTCAATTTATGGATCAACACTAAACCTTGACTAGATTAAGATTAATTTGTTAGGAAAATTTGGATTAAAGGGCAAGTTGAATTACCTGAACACGAGCTTCGGTTAAACCAATTTTACCTGCAAGCTCTTCTCTGGTGAATACATCTGGATAATGAGATTTTGAAAAAGACTTTTCAAGTTCTTCCAATTGGAATGAAGTAAATGTGGTTCGATAACGACGCTGTTTTCGCTTGGGAAAGTATCCGTTTGAACAGTTAATTAAATCACTTGTATCTTCCATTCGGTCCATGTTATCATCAAGATCATCATAATCATCACCATTCAGTTTATCTTCATTCATTGATTCACTTTGACCCTGATCACTGGAATCACAATTGTCACCTAATAATCGTTGATTAACATTGGACGAAAGTGAATCATTAAGTTTATCCGTTGAATGGTTACCATTGGTGTTGGAGCGATTATTATTTTCTGTTAAATTATTGCATTTAGAATCACTTGATAATCGAAGATAATTGTGATTTAACAAATGATAATGATGTTGATTGAGGGAATTGAGATGAGCTGAACTCAGATGGCTATTGGAATGATGATTGTTCAACGATTTAACTTCAGGTTCCTCATCAGAATCGGGTGAAGATAGATTCTTTAAATGGTTATTATTGGATGAATCGAGACAACTTTTACCTTTAATTGAATCGTCTCTGTTGTTGCCTTCATTAAGTACAAGATGAGCAATGGTGAAATCACGAGAACGAGTTGTCTTGTTGAGTGTTAGATGATGTCCATGATGACCATTCAGATGAACATGGTGAGTTATATCACAATTGGGTGATGAACTGTACCTATAACCGGGCATCTTTTCATTCAAAGGTAAATCCAAAGGTGAGTAAATACCCTTTTGAAGGGTAAACGGATTGAGATTTGTAACCGCCAATGTTGATCGAGAAAACAAACAAGTTGAAAAAGTGTGAAAAGAAGAGGAAGAAACAAGGGAAAAAATAAATAACAAAACAAAATGATCGAATGAGACTCGAAAGGTGAACAAAGTCAAGGTCAGAATTTAAATTTTTTATTCAATTTCCATTGAATGATTGCAGTTTAAAAGATGATTTCAATGTTGAACATGATTCTCATCAAGTGGACTAATGATGATTAAAGAGATTCAAGAGAAATGAGAGAAACTCACTCAAACGACTAAACCAACAACTAATTCAATCTCCTCCTCAACGTCTACCTTTACCTGCCCACCTCTTTATCTTCATCTTACTTTCTTCTCTTTCTTCCCTTTTCATTCTTTTTTCTCTCTTTTCTCAATCAAATTGACTCAATCATTATCATCATCTTGATTGTTGCTTAAAAGAAGAAGAAATTCATTGCAAATATCATTTAGTTAAATACATTTTTCGCAGCCAACAACAATTAAATTAATTCAGTTGCTATTCATTTTCTTTGCTCAACTTTTTTCTCTACATTGAGGTGGAGTTACCTGGCAATGGGAGTAAACCTTTTCGACTCCACCTCGTTCAAGGTGCCAACTTGTTCATTTAATCAGTCAAGATTGTAAATAATTTATCAACCTTAAATGAAACAATTGAGCTTCACGCTAACCCAACATCTTCTTTTGATTAACTCGTAATTGCTAATAATTACAACACAAATTGAGCTCTTTTAGCACAAGCACACATTTGGTTACCTTTATGAGTCAATTAATGTGATTAACCCAAGTTTTATAAACAGAAATTCAATTTTTTACCAGAAAATGAAATTTTGCTTTAAAAAGACTGTTTTCCATTTTGAATAATTTGACCTTTTTTTCATTGTTGCTGCTTGTTAACCTGGCATGGAATGATTAAGGCTTAAAGTATATCATTGTCATCATTAAAATGATAATCATGATAATCATCTTGATAATCATCCAGACTGTGAAGTGGACAACATCACATCGTGGAGGGTCAACAGTAAACGCCATTATTTAAGTCTATTGTTAAACCTCAAAATGACCAGTAATTTGAGTCAAAACGTATTTTGTTATTTATAGTTAACAGCTTCTTTACCTTTTTTACCTTGGAGATGAGTTTTACCAGCAAAGATGAAAATGAAGAGAAGAAGAAGAAGAGAGAAGACAGAAAGGTAAAGAGAGAAGAGATAATCAAGGTAATCAACTCAATTGATAGGAATCAATTATAATGGTTACCGTGAAAATGATAGCTTGTCAAGAGTGAAACAAAAAGTGAGTAAACTTTTTTTCCTTTTTTCTACTGGATTCGTATTAAGCGGATGAAATTGAATGAGAGAAATAGTTTTTAATGAAAGACAATCAATTGGTTACAAAACAGGCTATTACTTGACCTCACAGATTTGACCAGAAAAAAGCAGTTAATAACAAGGGTGGATCAAATGGAAACTCACAGAGAGCGAAGAAGAGAAAAGATGCAAAAAAAAAATAATATTGATAATAACAATGATGATAATATCATTGACTTTGTTGTGTTTTTTGTTGAGACTTTGTCCACATTTGATTGCTACTGTTGCTTCCTAGCGTTTACCTTGTTACCAGTTAATGTTCAATGATTACCTTCACTCCCACCTGGACCTCCTCTAAAAGGCTGTCAAAAATATTTGACAATCTTATTTGGTTCCAATCAAAAAGAGAAAAAAATAGAAAAAAAAAGAAGAAGGAAAATGATTATTACCAAGTTTATCAAAAGCCCTTAACTCCACCTTTTAATGCCAATTTTACCTTTTCTCTCCTCCTTCACCTTTCATCTTTCCTTACATTGTTATTGATATATCATTTGCCACCAACTATCAATTGTTAACCTTTTTTGTTCTCCTTTCAACTTTCAATTTAACTCTATTTGTGTGGTTCCTTTCCTATAAATCCCTGCTCAAGAGCAAAGTCAGTTTTTGATGAAATGATGAAATGTGAGATTTTTTGCTTCATGAGAATAAGATTTTGTATGATTTCATTTTTCATGAAATTTGATTGTCTCGAGTTGATTGTGGATCGAGAGAAGAAATGATTTTCTTTCCTTTTTCATGATTGATCAATATAATTACAGAATTATCATTTTAATGAAAACTCTTTTTGTGTCTTTTTTTCGACATTATTATCATTTCAACTTGTTTCTCTCTTGTTTCACCATTAATTAAATTTCTCGATTAAGTTAATTGGTTTTTGATTAGATGAAGGGTAATCTAATTTACGGTTCAATGTGACGTGAGTTGATTTGTTAATTGATTTCAGGTTATATTAACAAAGGATAAAAAAAGGGAAGAAAAAAAATGTTAATCAAAAAAAGTTAATGAATAACAATTATTCAATACATTTTTCTTGTTCCATCAATTTCATAATGAGTCAATTAACATTATTAATAACTGATTAATTGAAATATTCATTAACAGTGAAACAATGTTATTGCAAGAGTAAAAGGTAAATCCAAATTTCCAAGCTATTTATTCATGAAAACGAAAATAATTAGATAATTTTTTTCCATTTTTTGGCTAAAAAACATTTTCCATTAAAATTGAATCAATTTTTGTATCAATATCAAGATAACTGAAGCAAATCATTTCCGTTTTATCGTAAAATCTCAACCAATTGGCCTATTCTGAGACAGAAAATGTTTTTTCTTTTACAATATTATTCTAAATGATAACTAACAAGACCAACTATTATCCGTTATTATCATTTGTTTTTCCCTGAAATCTTCATCTCTTGTTGACCTCATGTTGATCTAATTATGATAATCAATGTGGACACCAGAGGAGAGGAAGAGCGGAAAGGCCAATCTTGACCTGCGGCTATTTTCATGGGTTCACCTTGTTATTATCATAATGATTGTTATTACAATCAATTGTGTCGCTATTTTGACTTTTAAACAAACCATTTCAATTTACATTTAAATTCATCCTTTGTTACAAAAGATGAAAGCTGCCATCAAATTGTTGGCTCACTGGATTAACTGATTGTTCATTTAACTTTATTAGCTTTCATTGCTAATTGTTGCATTCACAATTGGCGCGTTAGTGCATCAACTTGAGGCCTTTTTGTATTAATAAAAACAAGGCTTCGTCTGTCTTCGGTATTTGAATAGATTAAGGAAGTTAAAGGATTGAATTGAAATGAAATAATCACAAGATAATGGTTGATTATCATCATTAATGTATCAATGGCTTCATTTAGTTTCTTTTACCTCTTTATCAAGTCAATCATTTTTTTGTCTTGCTAAACTTCCTATTCAATTGTCCAATAATTGTTGAGATGAAACTCGATTGTTGATCAATTGTTCCATTAATGACCATGATGCTTCTGAATTGCCTTTCTAAACCAACTGTTTGTATCACTTTTTACACTTAAAGAAACTCTTGTAACATCATCTACTGTCAAGGTAGTCATTATTTCACTGACTTTCAGACTCAATAGTGAAACATCTCTATTAGTCTGGACGATGACTAGCTAAAGTTTACCTTTCGTGCGTAATTGGCTTCAGTCAAGCTAACAAAGTCTTACAACTCTTGTTAGCAGTCAGCTTTACTGACCACAATAATAGTCACAGGTTGGTTAAGCTCAAGACACTCACAAGTGGTTAAGCTTAAGATTTTAGAGCTAGTGTGAGGGACCAAATCACAGCCAATAGATCGAGTGAAATGAATCCACAATAAAATATAAAGAGAAAGCAGTTTGACTTTTTAAGGATTTTTTCATTCGGTCGTTCGCAATCCAAGTGTGTTTTACCAATTTTGAAACAACAAAGATCAACAAATAAAGTTTGTGTATTTTTCGATGGCAATCTATAATGTATTTTGGAGCCTTTTTGAACAAGCTTAATGGTTTAAAATGTGGTTTAAGTTACACCGGATTTGGAGGTTCAATTTTAGATGTTGTTTGGTCTTGTACTTGTTCAAAATCAATAGTAAACGGATCAACTTGCGTTGCTTTCGGCTGACTCTTGCCATTAAACAAATAAACAAGATTAATTGAATTCAATTTAATAGATAAAATAAAAGCATGAATAAAAATCAGTTTGAAGTAATAATGCGAATAAGACTTGAAATGTTTACGATGGCAACGAGTATTCACAAGGTGAATCGGCTGCTTTGCTCAAACCAAGTTTCAAGCTTTGAATCATCGGCTAATTTTACGATTCCTTTGGCAACTAAAGTTGACTTGATTGTAATAAAAATTTCATATGACAAATAATCATTTGTTACTCAACCTGATAATTAAATTGATCACATTGAGAGTTAAACTGATTGCGTGATCAAAAGCAACCTAGAAGAGCATTGAGTCTGAAATCAGGATACTCTGAGGTTATTGGTAAAGAAATGAAGCTTGAAAAGAAGTGGCTAATTGTGTTGGTCAAGTTAATGGAGACAAACTCAATTATCGATTGAGAGTAAAAATCAGATTATAAAATGCTAGTACTTTTCACTTAATAATTGTTCAATTCCCTGTATCACTCCAAGTTGCTATAGTAACACTTTGCACTTAAACATTTGATAAATTATTTGGTTGCATTAATTTTAAAGGTGAGAAACGGTGATTGTCGAATGATAATGAAATAATAAAATTTTGATAATATTTTCAATGTTCACACTAATTAACTGGAAAATGATGGAATCGCAATAAAAATGGTGAATATAAAAGTGAACCTGAAAACGCGAGTAAAGAAGCAAAAGTTGAAAATCTTTTCAACCATAAAATGAGGTTGTCCCTTTAATTGGACTCAACCATTAATCAATTTATTTTATTAACTTAGTTAATCAAACTGAATCATACATTTGATAATGAACAACAAATAACAATATTAGCTGTAAAAGTTGAATGGAAAGAATCAGTTTCCTTGGTTACAGAATTAACAGCAAAAGAGAGTCAATGAATGTTTAATTAAATAGATAGTGATTATGTTTTGATGACAAAATATCGACTCAATCAAATGTTCACTCCAATTGCAAGGAACAATTAGTTTGCTTCTAATTAAATTGTTTTCCTCATTAAATTAATATTCATAACCACAAAGCTTCCACTTTCATATCAAACTTTTGTTTCCCATTCAAAGTGTCTCTCAGAGTTAATCAGCAAATCAATTGAACAAACTTTCAACTTTAACCTGCTAATTGATTAAAGAAACTGAATAAACTCAATTCAGGTTAACCATGTTTGGTTA